GGAGAGCTCTGGGCTCCTTTAACCCAGTCTCTGTGTGAGTCTGCAGGAGAGCTCTGGGCTCCTTTAACCCAGTCTCTGTGTGAGTCTGCAGGAGAGCTCTGGGCTCCTTTAACCCAGTCTCTGTGTGAGTCTGCAGGAGAGCTCTGGGCTCCTTTAACCCAGTCTCTGTGAGTCTGCAGGGAGAGCTCTGGGCTCCTTTAACCCAGTCTCTGTGTGAGTCTGCAGGGAGAGCTCTGGACTCCTTTAACCCAGTCTCTGTGTGAGTCTGCAGGAGAGCTCTGGGCTCCTTTAACCCAGTCTCTGTGAGTCTGCAGGAGAGCTCTGGGCTCCTTTAACCCAGTCTCTGTGTGAGTCTGCAGGAGAGCTCTGGGCTCCTTTAACCCAGTCTCTGTGTGAGTCTGCAGGAGAGCTCTGGGCTCCTTTAACCCAGTCTCTGTGTGAGTCTGCAGGGAGAGCTCTGGGCTCCTTTAACCCAGTCTCTGTGTGAGTCTGCAGGGAGAGCTCTGAGCTCCATTAACCCAGTCTCTGTGTGAGTCTGCAGGAGAGCTCTGGGCTCCTTTAACCCAGTCTCTGTGTGAGTCTGCAGGGAGAGCTCTGGGCTCCTTTAACCCAGTCTCTGTGTGAGTCTGCAGGGAGAGCTCTGGGCTCCTTTAACCCAGTCTCTGTGTGAGTCTGCAGGGAGAGCTCTGAGCTCCATTAACCCAGTCCCTGTGTGAGTCTGCAGGAGAGCTCTGGGCTCCTTTAACCCAGTCTCTGTGTGAGTCTGCAGGAGAGCTCTGGGCTCCTTTAACCCAGTCTCTGTGTGAGTCTGCAGGAGAGCTCTGGGCTCCTTTAACCCAGTCTCTGTGTGAGTCTGCAGGAGAGCTCTGGGCTCCTTTAACCCAGTCTCTGTGAGTCTGCAGGGAGAGCTCTGGGCTCCTTTAACCCAGTCTCTGTGTGAGTCTGCAGGGAGAGCTCTGGACTCCTTTAACCCAGTCTCTGTGAGTCTGCAGGGAGAGCTCTGGGCTCCTTTAACCCAGTCTCTGTGTGAGTCTGCAGGGAGAGCTCTGGACTCCTTTAACCCAGTCTCTGTGTGAGTCTGCAGGAGAGCTCTGGGCTCCTTTAACCCAGTCTCTGTGAGTCTGCAGGAGAGCTCTGGGCTCCTTTAACCCAGTCTCTGTGTGAGTCTGCAGGAGAGCTCTGGGCTCCTTTAACCCAGTCTCTGTGAGTCTGCAGGAGAGCTCTGGGCTCCTTTAACCCAGTCTCTGTGTGAGTCTGCAGGAGAGCTCTGGGCTCCTTTAACCCAGTCTCTGTGTGAGTCTGCAGGAGAGCTCTGGGCTCCTTTAACCCAGTCTCTGTGAGTCTGCAGGAGAGCTCTGGGCTCCTTTAACCCAGTCTCTGTGAGTCTGCAGGAGAGCTCTGGGCTCCTTTAACCCAGTCTCTGTGAGTCTGCAGGAGAGCTCTGGGCTCCTTTAACCCAGTCTCTGTGTGAGTCTGCAGGAGAGCTCTGGGCTCCTTTAACCCAGTCTCTGTGTGAGTCTGCAGGAGAGCTCTGGGCTCCATTGTGAGTAAAATGAAAATTGTCCCAGATTTAAGTTTCTCTGTGTATACACAACTGTATGACTCTTTGGTTAGCTCTATTTTATTCTATGCAGCTGGTGTTTGGGGTTTCAAGGAGATTGATCATGTTAATGCTCTTCAGAATAGAGCCATTAGAACATTTTTGGGAGTGCATAAATTCAGCCCAATATCAGCGACACAGGGGGACACAGGGGGACACAGGGGGACACAGGGGGACACAGGGGGACACGGGGGGGGCACGGGGGGACACGGGGGGACACGGGGGGGGCACAACACGGGGGGGGCACGGGGGGACACGGGGGGACACAGGGGGACACAGGGGACCATGGGATGGGAGCCGTGTCTCATAAAGCAAAGGGCTCATCCAGCTGCCCAATCACAGGCTCACTAAAAAGATTTTTAATTGGAACTGTTCAAACAATTACCCCTGGTCTAGAGAAATGGCGGAAGTGTTCTTAAGTTCTCATTTAAATTATGTTTATCTAAATAAATTAAAATGTGATATAAGTTTGTTTAGACAAAACACATAAACAGAGTTTAAAGCACAATGGAAACTTGATATTTGCAGGAAACCTAAGTTAAGACATTATATTTTATTTAAACAGGAGTTTTACACAGAACTGTACATCCAGTCAAATGTACCTAGAAGCTCTCTGTTAGCCCAGCTGAGGACCGGCACTTTGAAGGCAGCGCTCTCTGTTAGCCCAGCTGAGGACCGGCACTTTGAAGGCAGTGCTCTCTGTTAGCCCAGCTGAGGACCGGCACTTTGAAGGCAGCGCTCTGTTAGCCCAGCTGAGGACCGGCACTTTGAAGGCAGCGCTCTGTTAGCCCAGCTGAGGACCGGCACTTTGAAGGCAGCGCTCTCTGTTAGCCCAGCTGAGGACCGGCACTTTGAAGGCAGCGCTCTGTTAGCCCAGCTGAGGACCGGCACTTTGAAGGCAGTGCTCTCTGTTAGCCCAGCTGAGGACCGGCACTTTGAAGGCAGCGCTCTGTTAGCCCAGCTGAGGACCGGCACTTTGAAGGCAGCGCTCTGTTAGCCCAGCTGAGGACCGGCACTTTGAAGGCAGTGCTCTCTGTTAGCCCAGCTGAGGACCGGCACTTCGAAGGCAGCGCTCTGTTAGCCCAGCTGAGGACCGGCACTTTGAAGGCAGCGCTCTCTGTTAGCCCAGCTGAGGACCGGCACTTTGAAGGCAGCGCTCTGTTAGCCCAGCTGAGGACCGGCACTTTGAAGGCAGTGCTCTCTGTTAGCCCAGCTGAGGACCGGCACTTTGAAGGCAGCGCTCTGTTAGCCCAGCTGAGGACCGGCACTTTGAAGGCAGCGCTCTGTTAGCCCAGCTGAGGACCGGCACTTTGAAGGCAGTGCTCTCTGTTAGCCCAGCTGAGGACCGGCACTTTGAAGGCAGCGCTCTCTGTTAGCCCAGCTGAGGACCGGCACTTTGAAGGCAGCGCTCTCTGTTAGCCCAGCTGAGGACCGGCACTTTGAAGGCAGCGCTCTCTGTTAGCCCAGCTGAGGACCGGCACTTTGAAGGCAGCGCTCTCAGTTAGCCCAGCTGAGGGCCGGCACTTTGAAGGCAGCGGTCTCTGTTAGCCCAGCTGAGGACCGGCACTTTGAAGGCAGCGCTCTCTGTTAGCCCAGCTGAGGGCCGGCACTTTGAAGGCAGCGCTCTCTGTTAGCCCAGCTGAGGGCCGGCACTTTGAAGGCAGCGCTCTCTGTTAGCCCAGCTGAGGGCCGGCACTTTGAAGGCAGCGCTCTCTGTTAGCCCAGCTGAGGGCCGGCACTTTGAAGGCAGCGCTCTCTGTTAGCCCAGCTGACGACCGGCACTTTGAAGGCAGCGCTCTCTGTTAGCCCAGCTGACGACCGGCACTTTGAAGGCAGCGCTCTCTGTTAGCCCAGCTGAGGACCGGCACTTTGAAGGCAGCGCTCTCTGTTAGCCCAGCTGAGGGCCGGCACTTTGAAGGCAGCGCTCTCTGTTAGCCCAGCTGAGAACCGGCACTTTGAAGGCAGCGCTCTCTGTTAGCCCAGCTGAGGACCGGCACTTTGAAGGCAGCGCTCTCTGTTAGCCCAGCTGAGGACCGGCACTTTGAAAGCAGCGCTCTCTGTTAGCCCAGCTGAGGACCGGCACTTTGAAGGCAGCGCTCTCTGTTAGCCCAGCTGAGGGCCGGCACTTTGAAGGCAGTGCTCTCTGTTAGCCCAGCTGAGGACCGGCACTTTGAAGGCAGTGCTCTCTGTTAGCCCAGCTGAGGGCCGGCACTTTGAAGGCAGTGCTCTCTGTTAGCCCAGCTGAGGGCCGGCACTTTGAAGGCAGCGCTCTCTGTTAGCCCAGCTGAGGACCGGCACTTTGAAGGCAGCGCTCTCTGTTAGCCCAGCTGACGACCGGCACTTTGAAGGCAGCGCTCTCTGTTAGCCCAGCTGAGGACCGGCACTTTGAAGGCAGCGCTCTCTGTTAGCCCAGCTGAGGACCGGCACTTTGAAGGCAGCGCTCTCTGTTAGCCCAGCTGAGGACCGGCACTTTGAAGGCAGCGCTCTCTGTTAGCCCAGCTGAGAACCGGCACTTTGAAGGCAGCGCTCTCTGTTAGCCCAGCTGAGGGCCGGCACTTTGAAGGCAGTGCTCTCTGTTAGCCCAGCTGAGGACCGGCACTTTGAAGGCAGCGTTCTCTGTTAGCCCAGCTGAGGGCCGGCACTTTGAAGGCAGTGCTCTCTGTTAGCCCAGCTGAGGGCCGGCACTTTGAAGGCAGCGCTCTCTGTTAGCCCAGCTGAGGGCCGGCACTTTGAAGGCAGCGCTCTCTGTTAGCCCAGCTGAGAACCGGCACTTTGAAGGCAGCGCTCTGTTAGCCCAGCTGAGAACCGGCACTTTGAAGGCAGCGCTCTCTGTTAGCCCAGCTGAGGACCGGCACTTTGAAGGCAGCGCTCTCTGTTAGCCCAGCTGAGGACCGGCACTTTGCCTCTAGCAGTGGAGGTGGGGCGCTTTAAAGCCTGAAGAGGGCCGTCTCTGTACAGTGTGTGACCTGGGGGTGGTGGAGGATGAGCCTCATTTTGTTTTGTATTGTCCACTTTACTTTGAGCTTCGAAACATTTTATTTGAAAAAGTGAATGCTTCTAACCCAGAGGTCTTTGGTGGCCTGAGGGAGAAATTATGAACTGGATGTACTGCCATGAAGTTTTTGCCTTTGCTTCTTTTGTTGCTAAAGCCTGGGAGAGGAGACAACAGATTCTGTACCCTGGATAATGCACCAAATTGTAAATTGTTTTCTGTTTTTCATGTCTGTATATGGTCTGTATATGGTCTGTAGCCATCAGAAGTTGTTGTTCAGTGTCATATAAGCCCATACAAATACCACTACTACTGTCTCTACTACTAGACTCAGACCTGGCTCAGACCTGGCTCAGACCTGACTCAGACCTGGCTCAGACCTGGCTCAGACCTCTCTGTCCTCTGTAGTCCTGGTTCTGGGTCTTTCGTGCGGCCTCAGAAGGTGTCCTTTGGTCTGGACTTTGTCTCGGCGGTGCAGCAGGTCTATCACACCGACACAGAGGAGATCCTGACGGAAGACATCTGCTTCTCCTCCAAGAGACTGGAGTGGGGCCGCCTGAAGGTCCCCAGGTACACACAACACAGAGAGACACAGAGAGAGACACACACACACAGGACAGATTCTACACACTGTGTTCTGTTTCAGCCTGCACAGTTCCACCTCCATCCTCTTGAATCGCTGTGATGTGAACGGAGCAGGAGAGGGCGGAGCCATCAGGAGGACCACCCCCAATATCCTCTGTGTGTGTGTGTGTGTATTTGTGTCTCTGTGTGTGTGTCTGTGTGTGTGTACTACTCCTATAGTCGTACTAATATCCTTATGAATGATTGGTCCTTGACGTTGTCACATGTGCAATGGTTGGACGTGAGCCGCAGTCTGATTGGCCGCTGGGAGGATGTAGCGGCGATCAGAGTTACAAGGTTACATTTACAATATACAATTGACATGGTGCACACAAATGTAAGGGTGACAGGAGTACCAGTGAAGTAAAGTGACGATATGATGGGCAGTAAAGTGACTTTAACAAGGGCTGCGGGTCATGAAGGTTTCAAGAGTCCAACACAGAGGGGAAGAAACTGTTCTTGTTCTAGGTCGTACTTCCTGGTTCTAGTGCCAGGACTAAGTGGCGTATCTTCTGGTTCTAGTCTCGTCATACTTCCTGGTTCTAGTCAGGGACGTAATGTGGTCGTGACTTCCCTGGGTTCTAGTCAGGACTAAGCGTGGGTCGTAGCTTCTGGTTTTCTAGTCAGGACTCGACTGGCTGCATTTTTGAATGTACTGCAGCTGTTTTTACACCTGTTTGGACAGACCTGTGAGCAGGAGCCATTGCATTAGTCTAACCTACTGGAGACAAAATGCATGGGATAAGAACTCCAGGTCTCTGCTGTTAGACACTATTGTTTTTTGATCCTGGCAATGTTTTTTTAATGTTAAAAAGCTGCTTAATCGTTACAGATTTGAGGTGGCTATTAAAATTTAAGTCTGATCCAGTATTTACCCCTAGAGTCCATGACCTGTTTGAAAGGTTTAGAGGGAGAGAGACTGGAGGTGACAGATGACCGCATCTCCTCTTGGTTTCTCTAGGGGACCAAAGACAATCATTTCAGTTTTGGTCTGTTTTAGCTGCAGGAAGTTGTTTTTGCATCCACCTCACTGATCTGGTTGGGATACAGTGAAGGAGTGAGTCCACCTGGTCCATGTTCTCCTGCAGAGTCAGTGAGACATAGATCTGAGTATTAGTTAAACTATTTTGTCGTACAACGAATAATGGAAACTAAAGGCTTGGTATAAAAAATAAAATAAAAAAATGTTCTTACGCCCCATTTATCTCCCTTTGACCCAAGTGATGACTCCTGCCTGGGATTTGTGTCACATTTTTTCCATTTCATTCTGCAAGTCAATTATGGACTTAGCTGAGACTATAGCCTCTCCTGCACATGTTAAAGACTATCGAAGATGCAATAAACCAATTAATGATCATTTTCTTCTACAACTATTTTGATTATTTTTCAAAAATCAACTCTTTTAGTAATCAATCATTTACAATTCATATCTAGACGCTGGTACAGGCACAAAGACTAAATACTAATTATTTAAATAGTTGAAAACTAGTGCTAAAACAAATACATATCAGAGCCCTATTATTATTATCAATCGGTTTTGTGTAGATTTTGGGGGCCACTCAAGATGCTTGCACCACACGGTCAGTATTCTTTCTTCACTGCATACACAGTGGTCAATTAATGAAAAAACATACAAAATATAATATTCTTCTTTTTTTTCCCTAAGTCCAGAGCAGACTCCACACACCTTCCTCCACGCATCAGGAGGAATCCTGAGGCGTGCCCTAAGGCCAGCTGAGAGACACAGTCCCTCAACATGTCCTGGGTCTTTCCCCTGGTCTCCCCCTCACGCAAGGAGGGGAGTGGAAGAGTTGGGAGCTTGAATGACTAAGTTGACAATCATCAGACCGAGCGACATTAGTGCAGGCAAGCTGATGCTTTAAAGTTCATTACATACAAGATGAAACATTGGGACTCAGGGCCTCTCTGTGGGGCCAACAGGGACCAAGGGCTTATCGTGGAGGTTTGGGGTAATTTTTCATTATGCAGTACAAGTACAGAGTACAGAGGGAATACATGCCACCATCACTCCTAACAGCAACAACCTTTGATCAGTTCAAATCCACCTGTACTAATCACACTGTCTAAAGCAAGCAGGGTTCCCTCCTTTCAGGGGTGTTATTGTTCTCTAATGTTCTCATGTTTAATGTTTTATTTACAGTATAACCCCTTCTCATCCTCAAAACCCCGGAAGCACTCTGGTTCTACTCATCTCCTTCATCCCTTAAGGAGCATCGCATTGATTTTCCACTTTGGATAATGTGGAGTATTTTGGGATGTGACGATTGAGTTCCAAGTCAGCGGAGGCGAGCTTTCTTCCTTCATTGTGCATCAAAACAGTATCTATTGTTAAACAAAGGCATGGTTAGGGATGTTTGTAAGCTTGCACACATGCAAACACATGTGACATTAACATAACATCAGAGCATAGACTACATACAGATATGAACATGGACATCAGTAGGGTCCAAGCCATGGTTTTGGTCACTCCAGATGCACATCAGGATCTCCAGATACAGTCTTTTCACTTGAAGCACATCAGGTCATTTGCGACGCACTTCTGGTCAATGGTGCAGTGTCTCAGTTCCTGTACACAGCTTGTTATGCAATAGTTACTTTCTATGGTTAAATCACTTTGATTCTACTTTAAAGACAATTTCTATTCATGCTGTTGCTTCTGTCCCTCAGACAAAAGCAAGCGCAATGATTCAGTTTACTTCTCTAATTTGTGTTTTTATCAGATCTAATCCTCATCAATGTAATTACTTCACACAGTACAAAATCAACAAATCAAAAGTGTCAGGACAGACGTCAATTAAGTCCATGACAATATAGAATTCAAATGAACATTTCTGGTCTCAAAAAATACTGATTCAACTAAAGATTCAAGTGATAGACAATTAAAAATATGTGTTTACATTGGAGTAAACTTTTAAAATGATTTTTTCTCATGTTCTGCTTTTTCATGTATCTATATGTAAATGTGAATGTGTGAGTGTATGTGTGTATGTGTGTGTGTATGAATTTTGGGGTTGTCTCTCCAGACTCCACGAACCACCTGTAGGTCTCAAAGGTCACACTGTGGTGATGTAAACCACGTAGACACACTTTCAACTCCCTCTAGGTCTCTACCTGACGCTCCACCCTCACGTCTCCAGATACCTCTCTTTCATGGCCCCGGTCTCTCTCACACCCACTCAGTTCTGCAGTGGCGTGGGGAGGGGCAAGGAGGTGGCATTTTCCTTTGCTCTTTGATCTGTGACCTGTGGCTGGGTGGGCTTTGCGCTGTCCAGTGTCCAGCAGTCCAGTGACCCTGTACAGTGTGTGCTCTTGGTTCTGGAAAACAACCTTATAGTCAAATTAAAAACAACAGAGATTGTGAATGAGATTGTTTTTCTCTCTGAAGTCTAAACAATTTTGAAGCGCTCTTGGCTTTCCCAAGCGTTATGTAAATAAAGATTACTTATTCTCTTACTAATGATGACATTTTTAAAACCAGAAACTCTTTCTTAATAAAAAAACAAGACTCAAATCTAAAAAACCTTCTTAAACTTTAAAATATGTATTATGTACTTTTGTACTGTGTGTTTAATTATCTGTGCATTTATCTCAGCATATATTTTACTAATTTAAAATAATTGCAGCATTTTTCAAATGAAGTCAGTATGAATTGGAGCACATTTTAGACCAGTCTCCTGTGCTGCGTGCATCTGCAGCAGGAGGAAGGTCAGGTGCATAGTCAAAACAAAAACAAAAGTCACCACTTGAATGTGAATTGGGTGAATTGGGTAGTTTAACTTAATAATACTTTTACAGCTTAATTCCCTCTTTCTTTTTAGACGAAGTCTATAATCAATAATCACTTTTAACACAGGTTCTAATTTAAATGTTTGAAAAACGGCTTTTGTAACTAAAATAAAAAATACATGAAAAAATTCTCACAAACAGCTATGAAATATATCAGAGATACAATAATGGACTCACAAAATAAGCAGCAGATTTAAAAAGAAAAGCAAAGCTTTTTGTACTAATCTTTGGGTTTCAAAAACATACTAATTCAAAACTTCTATTCCCTAATGGTGTTTAAAACGTTTAACTGTGTCTAACACAATGTTCAAATGGCAAATTTAGCAAATTTAACGGAATAACTACTATGAAAAGCCAAAAATCCTAAAGCAGTAGCTTTGCTTCAGATTCACAGCCAGAGCAGCGAAGGAGGGGGCCGTTTCCCTGACAACGGCAGCAGATAGAGCGACGCACACACACAGGCAAAAAGATACAGAAGAATAACTTTCAAGATTACTTTGTTAAGCGAATATAACTGATGTTGTTCTTTATACTTTTGTCATCCAAATCTAGAAATGGCCACTTTCCACACTAGTAACAAAAGGCACTCTTTAGTGTTTAACGTTTCCCTTTTTATAATTACTTTTAATTCTACACCATGGTTTCTCTCAAAGGGACTTTAACCCTGAAGCTTCTTCTCAAAGGGACTTTAACCCCGAGGCTTTTCTCAAAGGGACTTTAACCCCGAGACTTTCTCAAAGGGACTTTAACCCCGAGGCTCAAAGGGACTTTAACCCCCGAGACTTTCTCAAAGGGACTTTAACCCCGAGACTTTCTCAAAGGGACTTTAACCCCGAGGCTCAAAGGGACTTTAACCCCGAGACTTCTTCAAAATACAATTTAGAGAGTTTGACAGACCCCAAAAAACAGACCAAAATTTAGCTAATATCCAATTATGCAGACTTTACATATTAAAAAAGGTGTCTGCTTACCTTATTCTTGTCAAACCGGTTCCAAGGACTGTCCGAGAGGTCTGCCAACTCTTTTCCGCGTCGGAATATTCAATTTAAAAAACAAAAGTGACAGAAGCGACAAGAAGCATCCAGGAACAGCTCTTCCAGCCTGCTGGAATCCCCGCTCCCAGACACAGCATGCCGATCTCTCACGCAGAGGAAAAGAAACAGAGCAATCTCCCTCAAAACAATCCAGAGAATGGCACAAACCGAGCCGCGCATTCTCCACCAAATCTGTAAGGATTTAGCAGACAGAGACGGATCGTGGTGTGCCAAACTCTGGAAGTTTATTTAAGTTTCTCTCAAGTTCCACTGGTTTACTCTGTTTCTTTTCCTCAGACAGAATAAAGGCAGTACACAGTTTATATAGTCATTGTCACGTCACACATCGAAAGACATACGTGTCACAAAGAGACAGTCACATCATAGTCATAACATGGAGTCCTTGTAGAGTCCTTGTACAGTCCTGCACGTAGGCCATATTGCTATCTAATACTAATAGTCCCCCCCCTCAAGTAAATTCCTGGCGGAAACACTGTCCTGACAGACTCAGGCCCTGTTTATACTGAGACGCTGCGCAGACGTTTCCAGGCTATTAACAGAAACGACCAGGCTCCTAATGCAAATTTCTCTGCGTTCACATGAGGTTGAAAAACGATATTGTTCTAGCGCCCGGCCAGTAGTGGGCAGAGAAACTTTACAACACTCACACAACCCCCAGCCCCGTGCCCAGCCCCCCCCCCCTCGGCAGTGTACTCACTTCCTGTGCCAGACCCTCAGAACGTACCAACATCATTCTGCCTTTTAACAGCAGCTGTGAAAATGGAAACTGAACCTAGAGCTTCACGTGGTCTCGTTTGGACGAACGAAGGAGTAGAATTATCCTCTGTGCCGCGCTGGAAGCCCACGAAACTAGTTAGTGTGACCGCCGCCATTGTTGTTGATGTTTGTTCTCCGCTACTGCGCATGTCCAAATTTACGTGCGGGGGTCAGAGCAGAGGGGGATTTCACACCTTTTTCCCTCTCGCGGGTGTGAAAGAGCTCCCCGCTGTGCAGCGTTTCTGAGTTGTCCCACTCTGCAGGCTGGATCTGAACACTTATGTTTTCACCCCCCTGAAACACAGTCTTCGTATGAACGGTTGGTAGCAACCGACATCCAACTATACCGTTTTACTGCCACATTGTCTCCGTGTAAACTCAGCCTCGGGTTTGTCTCTCTCTCCATCTCTCTCTATCTCTCTCTATCTCTCTCCCTATCTGACCCGGCCTAAAGCAGTGTTGGGCTCCTGAATCTGTGTGGACTCTGGATTCCAGCATTGCGTCACTTTTTCTCATTCTTAAATCTTTTGTGAAAGTAAATTACACTATTATTCCTATTATTATATTAATGTTTACACAACTTTCTTCCTAATTTCATAAGGCTTGTGCATCCATAATTAGGAAATGTAATTAAACTGTAGATTTGTCACTGTATCAAAAATACATGTGGGTTGTATTTTTGGCTGAAGAAACATTTCTTTTCATTTTTATTCATGACATGTCTTTGTTGTGTTTGTTGCAGATCTACAAAGTCCATCTACAGAATGGGGGTCACCTGTGATCAGTGTGGAAATATCTACAGCTCTACTTCTGCACTAAAGACCCACTACAGAACTCACACTGGAGAAAAACCATACGAGTGTGATTTGTGTGGAACAGGTTTAACTCAAGCAGCACATCTTGAGAGCCACAGCAGAATCCACACAAGAGAAAAATCCTTCAGCTGTGACGTTTGTGATCAGAGTTTTAGACATGAGAGTACGCTCAAAGATCATCAGAGGATCCACATAGGAGAGAAACCATTTGAGTGTGACCAGTGTGGAAAAACATTTAGGAGAAAAGACCACCTCTCACAACATCAGCATGTCCACACAGGAAAGAGACCTCACCAATGTGACCAGTGTGAAAAGAGTTATACACATTTAGCTAGCCTCACTGAGCACTACAGAATCCACACTGGAGAAAAACCATTTGTCTGTGGAGACTGTGGGAAGGAGTTTACTCAGTTTTCAAACTACAAAAGACATGAGAGAATTCACACTGGAGAAAAACCATTTGCATGTGACTTCTGCAGTAAAACTTTTAGCACTGCATCAGAGCGCACACTTCACCATCGGAGTCACACTGGAGAGAAGCCGTACAAGTGTGATCAGTGTGGAACATGTTTTACCACAGGAGGAGGTCTTAATGATCATAAAAGAATCCACACTGGAGAAAAACCCTTCAGCTGTGACTTTTGTGATCAGAGTTTTTCTCAAAGTTCTAATCTCAAACGTCATCTGAGGATCCACACTGGAGAGACACCATTTGAATGTGAAAAGTGTGGAAAGTCTTTTACTCGTGGGTCATCTCTTCATAAACACATGAAAATCTGTAAGAAGCAGGTGTGAAGACGCAGCATCTGGAACAAAGTGAAGGAGACAGAGCTGAGGCTGCATCATGTGAACCCAGAGTCAGACTCTACAGGATCTCACTTCAGTCTTAACCCTGTGCTGCAGCTGCTGAGCTTTACAGACCAAACACTTATTGTGGATTTGAACATCTTTACTTTGTGTCTGGAGACTCGGATACATCATGTTTTTGTCTGAAAGGAAAATCTTATGGTTCCTTTAAAGCTGCATCAAGTCTAAGATTCAAACTGACATGTGATGAAGAAGGAGACAGAGTGGGACATTATTATTCTGAACTAAACTGCAGATAAAAACTATTGAAGCATTTTTACAAACTATATTTACAATTTTCTATCTGTTTGTACAAATGTATTTGTGTTTCCAAGTGGTGGGCTCTAAATGGAGAAAGAAGTAAAAGTGTGCAGCCTCCCCATGAACATACAGAGCATATATATTAAACATGTGTTTCTTCTGCCGCT